TTTTTTTTGAAAAAAATGAAATAAAATTTAAATAGTGATTTTTGGAAAATGTGTGATTAAAAAGTAGGATTTTTTTTTTTTTAATTCATGTGTAAAATATTTTGTCATGAGAGTGTGTGGTTAAAGACAAACAGGGCTTATCATTTGGAGTTGGTCACTCTTTTAAAATGCTTATAAAATAAAATCGAATGATTTATTTCCAAATAAATAAAGAATAATGGATCAATTTGACAAAAAAAGGGGTATGCTGATTAGTGGTACTACACCATAGACCAGGCACAACAGGCATTTGTACCACCTATCAGAGTAAATATGATTTTGCGATGTACCAAAAATAAAAAAAATAAAAAATAAAAAATCTTACTTTAAGCTAGTGGGTCACCCACTAGGATCTACCATGGGTTCGCCCCTGCTAGAGGTGAACCTATATGGTGATTTTAAAATTTAAAAACATAGTTTTGAATAGAAAATTTTGGAGGATATGTAGTTAAAAGGTTTGGGTTTACATGTATAATATTTTATTTTGTGTGTGTGGTTGAAAATGAATATAAGAAATAACCTAAAGTAAGATGAATGGAATCAAACACGGGCTATATGAAGAGCAATGCTCTAAATCTTCATCTGATTAAATTTTCAAAATCTGAATAAAAGTTGAAATGACGGAATTACACCTGCCATTACATGCCATGTGATTGCCATAAATTATCTTTCAGGACATTTTTGACATTTTCATCTTCTGTTGATGTGCACGTTCTGTAAATTTATTCACCAATATATTTTATTTATAAAGTAAAAGCAAAGAAAATTAAGTTTGAAGACAGACTCAGGAGATTTGGACAAGAAGTAAAAATAAGTGATATTTCGATAAAAGAACTTGACACAGGTGCTATTCTAAATACAATGCTTTTGTAAGGAAGTGATATTTTCATAAATTGGCAAATAATTAATTAATTTATTTTCGTGATCATGAAGTATTAATTTATCGAATTTAATTAAGAATGACGCTCCCACTTTCTTTATATCAAATAGAAAACCTCTTGTTGAAAAATAATAATACTCCTATGTGGGTCCAATACTAATACGATAAATTGGAGGAATATCAGGTCAAACTAGTAGATAGAAAATATGTGATAAAAGTAGAACGTAGAAATTTCTTTGTTCGTCTGATCCTCAATCAACCAACCTCTAACAAATCTAGTATGTGGAATTTTCAATTAATCAATTAGACAATAAGAAAATGCTATGAATTTTATACATTCGAGGAAAAGTACATAGTAAAAATGAAACATCAACATGGCAACTCCACTTTGTGTTATAAATTGAATATTTTGTAACATTATTTATCCATACAATGGGTTAAATACTGCAACACTCCTACGAGAGTAATCCAATTTAATCTTGATTTCTCTAGGCATTAGAGATTAGGAGATTGGTATCTTTGTGTCTTTTTATTTCTTCCCTTTCAAGAGCTCGAACATGCAGAGCCGATCCCAATAATTTTGAGGCCTAAGAAGCTAATTATTATGATGCCCTTAAACTTTTTATTTATTATTATTTTTTTTTATAGTACTTAACTTATTTATATAAAAATGATATTCTTTTTGGATCATGCTACATGTATCGATTTTGAGGCCTAAGAAGCCAATGCTTTTGTAAGAAAGAGATATTATTTTTTGATCATGCTACATTTATCGATTTTTTTTAATCCCTTACTAACTATTTACAATAGTGGGTGGGGACCACATTTAGGGTTTTTTTTTTTTTTATTCACGCGAATCCCGCATGCATGTGATAGGGGATAAACAATTCGATGCACTTTTGGATGTGCAAATAAAATTATTCTTTTTGATGATCATGAAGTTTTAATTTATCAAATTTAATTAAAAATGATGCTCTTACTTTCTTTGTATCAAATAAAAAGGCCTTTGCTTCACGTACAGGGCCTTGTATACAGGGGCCGAGCTGCCCCTTGTTATAGGTTGGGGGCTATACATGGTCTGTACAAAGGGCCTTTTCCATATAGAAAACTTCTTGTAGGAAAATAATACTCGTATATGGGTCCAATGGCACCAGTGGGATTTGCCTTTTGCTCTTTCTGGGATTTGCATCAAGTTTGGAGGACTTCTACAGCAAATAGGAGATAAAGTTGGAATTCATTTCATCTTGACATCTTGTGTTAATGCCCTTAGTGATTGATTTAGAGGAGGAATTAAAAGCCATAAATTGAGATCGAAAGTATTTTAAGGTTTTCCTTGGTGTGAAATACTAATACCAGAATTGGAGGAATATCAAGTCAAACTAGTAGATAAAAAATATGTGACAAAATAGAAAGTAAAAATTTCTTTGTTCATATGATCCTCAATCAACCAATCTCTAACAAATCTAGCATGTGAAATTTTCAATTAATCAATTAGACAATAAAAAAAATGCTATGAATTTTACAAATTTGAGGAAAAAGAACATAGTTAAAAATGAACCATCAACACAGCAACTCTACTTTGTGTTATAAATTGAAGATTTTGCGACCTTGTTTATCCATACAATGGGTTAAATGCTGCAACGCCCCTGCATGAGTAATTCAACTTAATCTTGATTTCTCTAGGCACTAGAGATTAGGAGATTGGTATCTTAGTGTCTTCTGTTTCTTCCATTTCAAGAGCTCGAACATGCAGAGCTAATCTCAAGAATTTTGAGGTCTAAGCAGCTAAATTATTATGATGCGTTTAAACGTTCTTTTTTTTTTTTTTTTTATAACAATACTTAACTTATTTATATAAGATGAAAATTTCGTACAATCCTAAAAATTGAGTTATTCACCATATCACACAACATTGATAGAAACATTACAAAGGTTCTAATATGTAATCAATAAATAATTGCAAACTAACTTTCTACCACTCTTATTCGTGTTGAATTTTTCATTTCCTTTTGGTAGACAAATAGGGTCTGGAGGACCAAATTATTTTCTTAATTCTAAACCACCAAAAATGAATTTGATCATCACCTTGAAGGGCCTGTTTCGGAGTTTTATTTTACTGATTATTTTGCACATTTTTTGTGGCAATGCTTATGAGAGGTTGAAAAATCGATACTCGATAATTTTTTAAGCACTGGTTTTGGGTAGTTTAAAAATCATCCGAAATTGGTGTAGTGTAATCTTGGTCATATTTCTCCTCTCACCAAATTGATAGATTTTGGTCACTTCTCAAATTCTATTTTATTTTATTTTTAAATCTTCCTTCTATAAAATAATTATTTTCAGTCCAAATATTTTGTTCAAAACTAAATAATAAATACAAATACTATAATTAAAAAAATTATTTATACTCAAAAATTACTTTATAGCCAAAAAGTTTACTTACAAGATAAAAATTCATTTTTCTATAAAATATTGCGTACAAAGTAAAAATTATACTAGTAAGATAAAAATTCATATATAAAATATAATCAAACATATAAGCATAAAAATCACTTATGTGTAAACTTCTTTTTAAAAAAGTTCAAAATTAAATTATAACTGTAGTAAATTTAATTATTAATAAATATTTCACTTTTTAAGTTAAAAATTAACTTCTAAAAAATTAGTTTTTTTTAAAACTATTATGAGTAAATACAGGAATTATAAATTGAAATTTTCACTAAGGGGCATGCATATGATTTTATTATTTAATATGTTTTTTAGAACCACTGGATAATAAATTCTCAAACATAATTCGAACTATTATAAAAATTGCTACTAAAATACCCAAAATCGAACCCCTCTTAAACGCCAAATCGATACTTTAAATTTATCTCAAATTTCTAACATAATCTTCAATTTTAAAGTCATATATTGAAATTATTAATAGAAAAACCAAGTTCATGAAAATTTCCTTGACACGTTCTATTGACACGCCATTAATGCGTCACTCTAATATTTTTCGTTAGAAATGCAAATGCAATACTTTCCGCAATTTTTCCCACTCAATTTTGCATTACTGCGTTCTTTGACTATCTTTTAATGAAATATTAATTTATTTGACTTTTTTCTTTAATTTAAAACATGGCATCAAATTTGTGGACAACGGAGACTTCCAAGTCAAATTGTTGCAAATTAACCAAACGCAATTGCTAACCAAGTTGATGGAACATCCAGCAATTTCTAGAATCAAATTTTTCTAACCACAATAATAGAAAAGTTAGTTGACCTTTTGATTTATTAGAAATGAAAACAAATTTCTACAATCCTAAACTAATTTTTTTCTCAAACAATTAATAAATGTACAACTTTTATAGATATAATAGTGATAATACTTGAATCCAAGAACTTTGCTTAACATTTTATCAAGTATATTATTCAAATGTTTGCGAGTTTTCTTCTAGATGGTAATTATAAATCTTCATCCGAGAAATCTAACAACAATCTTAATAAATTTGGGATTCGTTATGCAAGATTAACTTTCCGTTCAAATAATTGTCTTAATTAAGATATTTTCATATCTTTCAGTGGTCAAACTTTGAATTTGCTCCCCAATGGTCAACAGTTCGAATCCTCTCAGGACCACTGAGATAAGTATCCGCCTGTAAACTTCAGAATCTCGTGAGATTAGTTGAGGTGCGTGTAAGATGACCCCAAGCACCCACGATCATAAATTTAAAAAAAAAAAAAGGATATTTCCATATCTTGATTGAAAAAGGTAAATTATGAATGCCAGATTATATTTCTTTTTTGGTATTATTTGAGTTATCATAAAATATGAACCACTTATTTTCTTGAGGTATGTGTGTGTATATATATATACACACATCTTTTTAACAATAAATGGAGGATTCAATATGGTCTAAAGATTAGACAACTAAGTGGATGACTTGGAAAATGTAACAAAAAAGATTGCCAATTTCAACCATCTTACAATGTAATAATCTTCAGCCTCACCAACCAACTTAAGGATAAAAAAGGAAAAAATTTATCTTATTTCTGCCTACTTATATGTATTTCGACATTCTTAATTCCTACAAACTTTACTATAAAAACCCACGTACTGTCTCTTCAAAAATATCATCACAGTCAAATTTACTCCTATAAACTGCCATTAAAGAATTACATAATACCAGAGAAAAAAGAGAAGGATGGGTTTGGGAAATGCCAGAGCCCTTGTGTTTCTTGTAGCCATGTCCATGTTTGGCATTGGAATGGCCAACAAGAATTTCAGTGGAGATTGGAATTACACTACAGGTTGGCCTTATGGACACTGGAATCCAACTCAATCTTCGAAAAGAATAATTGTTGGTGGCTCTGAGAATTGGCGTTTTGGGTTTAATTATACTGATTGGGCTATCAGAAATGGCCCCTTTTTCATAAACGACAAGCTCGGTAAGTTGTCAATTCATTGTCGAATTTAAGTTTAGTAAAAGGTCATCTTTGTTACAAGGAATAGCTCAAACTCTATATGTTGATTTATTACATGCAGTATTCAAGTTTGATCCTCCGAACGACACCACACACCCTCACAGTGTATATCTGCTGTCAAATTTCTGGAGTTTCCAGAACTGTGATTTTAGAAGAGCAAAGGTGATTGCACAAGTGACACAAGGAGGAGGAGAAGGATTTGAATTTGTGCTTAAGAGATGGCAGCCTTATTATTTTGCATGTGGCGAACGCAAGGGGCTTCATTGCAACAATGGGATGATGAAATTTGCCGTTTGGCCATTGTTCCGTTGGTATTAGCGGCTCAAAATTGTATGCACACATACAAAAAATTTTCTTGAAACTTTGTATTGCTAGACTTTAATAATCAACCTTTATGAATCTATATACATTGAAACCTTTTCTTTATTGCCAAGATTTCCATGTCAAATCACCAAGAGAATTAATAAGTGTGGGATCCATTGAATTGAATGTTTGTAAATCCCAGAAACACGATATTAAATTCAAGATACAAGATAACATTAACTCGATAGAAAGAAACTTGCAGAAATTAAAAGATTGAACACATAGAATTTTTTCGGCCAATGCCCACTTTTAATGCCTATTCCCATGTTGAGCATTCATTAAAATGGATAGCACTCGGTTGCACTATAAAACCTCAAATTGTCAATGAAGGTTACAAAACATTCATCCAACATGAGAAAGTTCGCACAGAAACTTCACAAATGCCTTCTAAAAACACAAGTATGAGACCCTCTCATTATTCTCACTAGTTTCACTCAGAAAATTGCAAAATCAGAGGCTAAACAATTATAGATCCCAGTTTACAAATGAGACCTTTAAGAGAGAAAACAAAGCACATCAAAAAACTCTAGCTTTAAGAAAGAAAAACTCTATCCAAAACGAACCCAGAAGTCAGATGAATTATTGCCAAGTGAAACAGCATCCAAGAGTATATCATTCTGTTGTCAAATCAACAACCAAGATGAAGCTACGAGTCAAGATCCAATAAAACCCCACCACTAGCAAATTCGCATTTTAAACACACACCTTTAGTATAGAAAATTTAGAAAGCATAATCTGAGTTCGAATCTCAACAATCTCCACCTTGCTACCTTAACATTCGGTTCATAGTACAGCTAGGAGAATACCAATATTTTCATAATTCTTATGCTCTAAGTACATTTAAATGCATCACAAAGTATCAACAGATAATAACTTCAAACGATTTTGAAATTTGTTTAAAGGTATTATTTTGTCCCCATATCTGAAAGATTAAATTGGGTAGCAACTTGACCAATTTTCAATATCCCATTTGAAATAATATCTATCATAAAACATAGGGTTTTTACTCAAATATTTAGTACTTTGGTTATCAGAGAATAGAATTGCATTTTCATCAACAAAATCAAGTTCGTTCAATAAACCACTCAACCAAATACCTTCTTTAAAAGTATCAGAAACAGCAGTGCATTCTACTTCAGTTAAGGACAAAGCCAAAACATTTTGAAGTCGAGATTTCCAACTAATTAAAGCATCACACAGAGTAAAGAAACAGTATGATGTTGATTTTCTATTATCTCTATCACCAACAAAATTAGAATCAGTATAACCTCTTAAAGTTAGCCCTTCTTTATTAATTTTAAATACAAGACTAAAATCAAAAGTTCCTTTCAAATATCTTAAAAGCTATTTTAAAGCATTCCAGTGTTCTTTCCCAAGGTTACTCGTGAATCTACAATGAATAGGAATGTTATGAGTAAGATCAGATCTAGTACATACTATCAAATACATAATAGACTCATTCAAATTTACATAAAGAATTTTAGAATTCTAGCAAATTCTTCATTTGATTTGGGATAGAATTCAAATGAAAGTTGAAAATAGCTTGCAAGAGGCAAAGTTGCAAGTTTACAATTAAACATGTTGAACCTTTATAAAAAAAAAATTAACCACATAATCACGTAGATTAAAAAATAACAAGTCTTTTTCTTAATTTCTCAAAATCCACATGCCAATGCTCATTTTAGCAAAACCAAGATCCTTTAAACTTAGATTTTAATTTCTGTTTGATATCCTCAATTTTAGATTTATCAAACCTAGCAAGTAGCTTGTCATCTACTTAAAACACTAACTACAAAGAATTTTTACCTCGATTACGGTAGAGACAAGTATCATAGTTGCTTCTTTGAGAACGAAGTTTCAAAACAAAAGTGAAAAATCTTTTGTACCATTGTCTGGGAGTTTATTTTAAACCATATAATGATTTATTTAGCAAACAAACAATATTTTCAGAATCTCATTTTTAAAAACCAACAAGCCATCTCATATAGATTTTCTCATCTAAATCACCATAAAGAAAAGCAATTCTAACATCTAATTGATCAAGTTTCCATTTAAATTGAGCAACAAGAGCAAGGATATATCTAATGGTAGTATACTTAACTACATGGGAGAAAATTTTAGCATAATCTACACCTTCTCTTTGTATAAATCCTTTTGCATCAAGTCTACCCTTGTTTTTAATACTCTTATTTTTCCCTTCCTTTATTTTATAGATCCATTTGCAACCAATAAGTTTACAATCCGTAGGTTTTTCAACCAATTCCCAAGTTTTATTCTTAAAGACTGAAGGCATTTCATTTTTCATAGCAGCTTTCAAGTTTTTAGCATTATGGTTAATAGCATTATTATAGCAGTTCGGCTCATTTTTAAATTATTCTTGATAAGTAAACAATGAAACAAATTTATTATAATCAAACCTAGTAGGAGGTCTGATATGTTTTTTTTTTCTCCCTATCTCTTGTGGTTGACATCAACATGGGAAAGAGTTGTAAGATTCAATTTCAGTTAAGTTAACATTTTCATCGAAACTAGATTCTTCAACTGTAGGTGTAGGAGTTTCTCCTACAATACGAGGAGTCTCCACTTCAATTTGAACATCTTTTTCAGTCAAGTCATTTTTCTTTTCTTTTAAGCATGGCATAATAGATTAATTAAAAAAACATCTCTTCTTACAATTATCCTATACCATTTTTCACTTTTGACTCATAATCTGTAGACTTTAACATTTTTACCATAACCTAAGAAAACACATTTAAGTGATCTAGGGTTCTAACTTACCAATGATTTGATGAGTATATGCAGCACAACCAAACACTTTTAGGTTAGAATAATCAACATAATTTTTATACCAAAAGGATTTAAGAATACCTAGATTCAAAGCATTAGTAGGACTTCTATTCAAAAGATATACAGTACTTTTCACAGCTTCATCCCTAAACAGTTTAGATAAACCAGAATTTAAAAGCATGCATCTCACATTGTATATTAAAGTTCTGTTCATTCTTTTAGTTGTGTCATTTTGTTGAGATATATGGGTAACAGTTCTATGTCTTAAAATGCCACGCTCTTTATAAAAATTATTAAATTCATAATTGTAGAATTCCAAATCATTATCAGTCCTTAAATCTTTTATCTTATGACCAAACTAGTTTACAATTCGTGTTTTCCAAGTTTTGAAACAGAAGAAGTTTCATCTTTTAAATTTAATAAGAAAACTTAGATTTTTCTTGAAAAGTCCTTAATGATCAAAAGATAGTATATAAAGCAAGATAAAGTACTCATGGAAGCAGGACCCCATAGATCAGCATGCAAATAATCAAGTATATATTTGGATATATGAGTTCCAATTAAGAAAGGTAATTTGACTTGTTTTCTTATTACACATTGTTCATAAGAACCAATATCACCCAGATTTAAATTTTCGAAGACTCCTTTGTTTTGTAAAGATTTCAAATCTTTTATTGCCAAATATGACCAGGTTTTTTATGTCATAACTTTGCAAAAGTAAAATTTTCAGTTAAGACAGCTGCAGTTAAACCAAGTAAGGGTTTCGCTTTAAGAAAATAGAGACTATGTCTCTTAGGGATGCTAATGATCAAATCACTGCCCCTACGAATCTTAATTGTCATTAACGCAACTTTATGTCAAATTCCATGTCATCTAACATGCCTAGAGATACACAATTCCTTTCTAAATCTAGAACATATCTAGTTCCTTTCAAAAATAGGACATTACCATTTTCTAATAATAATTTTACAGTTTCTATTCCACTCACTTTACATATCATATTATTACCCATTATAACTTGCCCAGTAGTTTTACAATATCAAGAAAATAGTTTTATTTTGGCACATATGAAAAGAACATCATGAATCAAGTATTCATTCATCATTTAGTTTCCTTTCCATGTTAACAAGGACCAAACTATCTTCAAGCTTATCTTTATTATAGACTAAGCCAACATTCCCATCATCAAATCTCCTTTCTTTTGACTCTTTTTTTTTTTTTTTTTATAACAGTCTTTAATGAAATGACGTAACTTTCCATAGTAGTAACATTTCTTACATTTTGCCTTATTTTTGGATTTATTCTTATCACTTCATCTATTCATGTTTTTATTAAAAGTCTTAAAGTGATCATTACATTTTCAAAAAGCTTTATCCTTCACTAAAAGATTATATCCATTTTGACTCTCTTTAGACTCAAATTTCATCTCTAGAACCTTATTTCTTAGGGTATCTATGATTTTATCTGTAGTGAGTTCTTCCTTGCCATATTCTAGAGCAACCTTGATGTCTCTTACTAATGGAGTATAACAAGACTACAACCATTTGATCTTTTCAAAGTTTTTATCACAATTTGCCAAGTCTTGGATAAGTTTTGTAAAATTGTTCAAGTTTTCATCCAAATCAACTGAGGGATCCATTTTAGCCCCTGTTTGTTTCCCACTTTCCCCTCATTAAGATAAAAAATATGATCGTTATCCATCACAACAAGCCACCAATTTGAATTTCTATCTCTTGTGTAGGGCTGATATTGACTATATTTTTCATTCTCATTTTTACAAAAATGGAAAAAAAATCCCCCTTAAAAGAAAAGAATTGCTTTAATAGTAGCATTTATTTGTAGTAGTTTTAGTCGCATATTTAGAATGAAGTTTAGTCCACATTTTAGAAGCAGCTTTTGTTGTACCAATAGTTCTTATCACATTTTCAGATAAGTAAATAGTTCTCTATGCAACTTCTTCAAGTTTAATTTTCTTTGCAGGAAGTAAGTTAGCGGGCCAGTTATTGTCTAATGCCCTAACACATCTCATTTACATTGAAATATCTTTTATTTTCTAATTCCACATATTGAAATTACATTTTTCATCAAACTAATTAAATTAAAGCTTAGCAGATGCCATCTTATAAGCAAGTATGACTCACAGGTTGAAGACAGATTTCCATAGATTTGCGAATAACAAAAATACAGATTGGTTTCAATCGCAAATCATAGTAATACACTTAGTAATTTCACAATTTTAGCAAGTTTTAATCAAAATCAAAGAATACACAAACAGA